AATACCTTGGTATTTCTTTTAAATTTTGAATAACCAGCTATTCGTGGTTTATGAATTTGGCTTCAAATTAAGTACGCGGGGCTAGAATTCACTGATTTCTATGTAACATCTTCTGCGGTCTACAGCGGCATCGTCGACGGAACACCATGAATGTCGTAGAAGAGTTTTGTAACGATATTTCCAAATACTATCCCGACACGAACGACTTTTATAGCTGGTACATCGCGCTTTGTGTAATCAACGGAATTTTGGCTCTCTCTGCGATATTTGGCAATACGATAATCATCTGTGCCCTAACAAAGACAACTTGTGCCTTATCTCCTTCGCAGATACTGCTGCTTGGTTTGGCTTTCTCCGATCTAGGTGTTGGTTTAGTCGTACAGCCCTTCTACATCTCCGTGATATTTAAGATGCTCCTAAGTGATTCTGCTTCTCCGGATGACTCTGAGTGCAAAACCAAGATTGCTTTTCTGGTTGTAGGAACTTTTCTTGCTGGCGTTTCATTCTTCGTCGTTTCTGCGATCAGCTTTGATCGTTTCCTCGCTATCAACCTGCATCTTCGTTACAGGGAAATTGCAACAGAAAAGAGAGCAGGCATTACTCTGACCGTACTGTGGACGCTCAGTGCAATTGCAGCTCTTGGTTACCTGTTCATGGGAGATGTTAACCGAGAGGCAGTGTCCAGCACATTTGCGGTAATATTTTTCGTCACAACCACCATAACTTTTGTAAGAATCTACCTCGCTGTCCGCAAACATCGTTTGCAGATAAAATCCCAAGAACAAACGGCAAGTGAAAATTGCAAAGAATTAGCGCTGAGCAAAAGACAGCTTAAATCATCCGTCAACATCTTGTACATTTACATCGTGTTCACCGCTTGTTATCTTCCCTATACTGGTACAATGCTGATCATTATAAAGTCTGAGCACGGATTATTTCTGAAAGGAATGTTTCAGTTTTCAATGACATTAGGATTTTTTAATTCGTCCCTGAATCCTATTTTATACTGCTGGCGGATGAGAGAGATACGGAGATATGTTTTAAAAATACTCAAGACTTTCCTGCCTTGTTTTAAAACGGATCAAGGTACTGAGATCTCAAAGGAGAAGAAATTATCAATCCTCAGCTCTTCTCATTTCAAAAGAGACAAGTCAACAGAGACTCGTGCAAGTCAAGTTAACTCAACGAAGTATTCGTAGAGGTAATCACATGATTTCGGATCGTGTGCAATTTTGAATAAATAAGCACGAGTAAATTTTTCATGTATATTATTAGTATAGGTAATGACGTGATTTTTCTCGTGCAATTTGAAACAAGTAAGCACGAGAAAATTTTTTTAAAGAATAACAAAATTGCGCGAGCCCTAAGGGCTCGTGCAATTTGCGGTCTTTGAAAAAATTAAGAAGTGCTTGTTTATTCCAAATTGCACGACAAAAATCATGTCATTACCTATACCAATAATATACATGAAAAAATACGAGATAGCTTATCATAAGTAAGCATAAGGAAAGCGCGCGCGTTAAGTGCAAAATAATTTATTCAAACTGTGCGTTCGGTCAAAACCGCGTACGATCAAAACAATAATATGCAATGATATCTTCACGTCTTTAAGGCGCAAAAAAAGTTCAAAGTCCGGCTAAACAGTTTAAGGAATTGTTCAGTCTGTGTCCGAATCACTTTCGATGAAATGGAATCGTCGTTTCCGAGGTTTAACCATGCTTGTTTTTTCATTTCGGCGTTGGATCGCTCGAGTAAAGTGATAAGCTGGGTTGGCTCGTAATTTTCGATTTCCTTGGCAATTCCCTTCTCTAAACACCCCTTTTTCCAAACCGACAACCAAAAATCAGTGCTTTTTAACAGTGTTCTTGTTGTTTGAGCTGTTTTTCAGCTGCGGCGGCCATTGTTTCGCTCGCAAATTTTCAAATTTTGTTGCGATATTCAGGGCTCGCATTTGATAGGCTATCTGTGAGTTTCTTTGATTAGTGACCAATCAGAATGTATGGTTTGTTACTTTCTTTGCACTGAATTAACCCTCTTCTGCACTGATTTAACTCTCTTCTTCACTTAATTACCTGAAAACTGCATTTGTCTTAACCAATCAGAACTGAGTAATTTTTTCAGTTATATTATTAGTCATTAAATGATCAAAGATGACTTTTGAGAGGCACTTAGTCGACAAATAAACATTTTCCACCGATAGACTGGGAAAACATATTCAAATCGGACAGATGCTTCATCTAAGGACATTGGAGGAGTTAAATTCATTTTAAGAATTTACAGCTTGCAGTTTACGTTTAGGATGACATATGTAACTTCCAAATTACAACTTGTCCAAGTTAAACTTCTTTCTATTCAGAAAATCTCGTCAAGAGGGCTGTGAAAGAAGAAGCGGTTGCTGAGCGCTGGCTTCAATTGTTTAACAGCCTTATAGCCAGCCGCTTTCTATCATTTTTCTGTGAAAAGGGAGATCGATATCCCAGCACTGAAAACCTCTTTCCTTCCCATCGAGCATCTTAAAAATACCTTACACTGTATTAGAAGTGCACCATAATATAGGAGATCTTTCATGAGTTAATTAACACTAATTAAAGGGAAAAAAAAGACTAATCTTCTAATCGATAAGAGGATGCATATGGCAAAAATGGAAATTCTTCTTTTTTGCCTATCTGATATATATACAAGAAGAAATATATGCAATGTTCATTCCCACAGAAATTACTAAAGTCTCAGTAAATTCTTTTCTCGCGATCTCGAGCTGAGAGCCCTTTCTCATTTAAACGCGAGCAAAGACAAAACATTATCAACAGCTAGTGGTGTAAAATTCAAGTCTCTTCAAATCGATGGTCGCGTTCGTATCCTAGTTGACAAGATGTTATGTTGATGCTTTATATCAAATCAGGCCGCGATGGATCGAACACACAAAATTTTTCACTAATGTATTTTAATTGACTAAAATCTTAAGATTTTTACAACAACCACTCTTACAATTATTCGATCTTAAAACCCGCCACTAGCCTTTGGCGTTTTCAGTCATTTGCATAATACTTATGATCTGATCAGTAGAAAGTCATCCTGTGTAAGTCTTTTGACAAAATGTCCTATGGTGTGTTTCCGCGAATGCGAATTTGAGCGCCATATCGAAGGGATGAAGATTGGTTAATGTCAATTAAAAACATCTTACTTTTTTTTCCATTTAATATTTCTTCTCTTTCGCTGTGTGAATCTGAGTGCCTATCAAGTTATAATGCGCACAGTCTTTTCCCCTTTCGCTTGAAATACAACTATTTCAATTTAGATCCTGCAGCAGTCAAACCGCGCGCTGGCGAATTTTTTCCCATTACGATTACTTTTGTTTTGCAACGATTTCCGAAAGAAAACAAAAGATCACGATTTCCGAAAGAAAAAAAAAGTTAATAAATGATAAATTAAGATCAATCTTTTCTCATAAAAGCTCCGTAGTGCTTACGTAATATCCTAACTTAGTCTACACGGTCCTTATAATAGTTATAGCCTATATTTTAAACTTCTCATGTTTTATTAAGAAAAACTCTAAAATCATATGGAGATTATTGAAGCAAAACGTAGTTCAGGCTTACATTAGCGACGTTCTCCTTCGAGTTTCATTGAGAATTGTCAAAACCAACTAAAAGGCCGTCGACTTAAGCTCTTTACCTTCAAAGTTAAGAATGAGTGCCGCTCTGAATAATCTCGTTGTTTAGTTGATAAGGAACTCATGAAGGAATGGTGCTTATCTATCAATTTCCTTAATCGTAATTAAGAGCAGTCTTTATCGTTTATCCCTGTCGGAGCACTTTTTATTACGTGGCCTTTAATCTTTGTATTCTTTTTGTATTCACACGCGGCACGCGTCATTCACAAATTAGCCAATCATGTCAAAGAACCCCCACCTTGAAATTGGAAGACTGACGTGGACATATTTTCGCGTACTTTTTGTTTTTAATTGGTCGTTTTAGAGCTTTCGTTCGAGTAAATTTGTTGCTCCTTTATTTGGAATTTTAAGAAATTTCGGGGTATATATTTCAGCCAAATTCTGTGGTTCAGTTAACAAATTTAATACATATTTTCTACGGAGTTTGGACCCCAGCCTCTTTTTTCGTAAGTAAATAACTTTACATAAATAATTAATGGCTGATTACATTATTTCTAGTTTAATTTGGTGTAAATAAGCACCTCTCAATTTTTCAAAATTTACAAACGGACTCGAGCAATTTTTTTGTCTTTGAAAATTTACTCGTGGTTTTTAACACCAAATTGCAATCGAAATCATGTAATTACCTATATTTACATTAGACCACGAACGCAATGTCTCGTAGGGAAGCTCTCGGCGAAGGAGTTACGAATCAATATTCAATTTCAGAATGATGAGACGCTGAAGTTTCTCCCACAGTTGGGGAGATCAAATGTTCCGTCTGCCTTTCAGGAGTAAATAATTCAGTTCGCTTTGTGCATGTCCATAATGAGCCGTTTCTGTGACAATTTACAGATCGGAAACGGTTATCTATATTACCGTAAAAACAACTGAGAACTATATTTGGAAAAAGTCATAATGAGTTGAAAAAGGTTATAAATGATCACGATATTGCCTCGACGTAATTTTCGTTGAACTCTAGAAAATTATTCCCAAATTTACAGACAGTTAAGCAACCAAATATGGTAATAAACGGTGGCGTAATTTAAGTTTGATAGAAACTAATTCAGCTGTTCACACCTCCTGGGTCATTTCGCTCGGAACTTCAAGACTTTGAATTTGCACCGAGATCAAACGATTTGTCATGAAAGCTCTAGAGGAATTTTGTGACGATATTTCTAAATATTATCCCGAGAAGGATGAATTTTACAGCTGGTATGTATTTCTTTGTGTACTCAACGCGATGTTGGCTCTTTCAGCCACATTTGGGAACATCATCATCATCTGCGCACTGACAAAAACCTCTTGCGCTACATCTACGTCAAAGATTCTTCTGCGTGGTTTGGCATTCACCGATCTTGGAGTTGGTTTAGTTGTGCAGCCGTTGTACATATCTGTGATCGCTGAGATACTGTCGAAAGATTCTGTTTCGTCTAACGATTCTGAGTGCAATACCAAAATTGCTTTCCTCGTCTTGGGAACGTTTCTAACCAGTGCCTCATTCTTCATTGTTTCAGCGATCAGTTTTGATCGCTTCCTCGCTGTTACACTTCATTTACGCTACAGAGAAATCGTGACAGAGAGGAAGGTAACCATCACCATTTCTGTCTTGTGGACGCTTAGTGCAGTTACCTCGGTTGGGTATTTGTTAATCGGAGATATGAACAGAGAAGTTGTTTCCTTTGCCTTCAAGATCATCTTCTTTATAACAACCACTTTAGCTTTTGCCAAAATCCATCTCGCTGTTCCTCGTCATCGTTTGCAAATATCTGCGCAGGAGGGAATCTTAGGCAAAAATTGCAAAGACTTGACTTTAAGAAAAAGAAAGTTTAAGTCTGCCATGAATATGTTCTACGTATATGCTGCATTTGCCGCTTGTTTTCTGCCCTACACCTGCACCAAGCTGGCTATAGCCACAACAGGGCATAGTCTCGTTTTGAAAGGAGTCTTTCATTTTTCAATGACGTTGGGACTTCTTAATTCGTCTTTAAATCCCATAATATTTTCCTGGAGAATGGAGGAGATCCGAAGAAGCATGCTGGAGGTATTGAGGAGGGTGTTACCTTGTCTGAAGTTAGTTCGAGTTGTTCAACTGCATCCCCAACGAGAGCTTGCCATGGCGTAATGTGAAGACCCTTGTCTAAATTTGGAAACAACGTAAAGTTACGAGAAAGAAGTCATTTCCATCGTGAAAGAGTACATGGTTCAAATAATTCGAAATGAGAAAATTTGAACGCTATACAACTCTCATTGTCGCGGAAATTACTCCCATTCGAAAATGTCTCTTACTCGTGATTTTTTGTATTTTAGGGGCATCTGCTTCATGACGGCTCAGTCATTAAAAAAAAAATTTTTTTTCTGGCCTATAGAAGGTTTACGAATTAAAGATGCTAATTTAGGAGCTGGTGAAAATTCCCTGTGAACAGTAATTTGACATCCATTTGCCTGAGGGAATCTTTATAAACAATGTGGATGATCAAAACTTATCTAGTCGAAAACAAAGAAGATTTGAAAATGTTGAAGTGGCTTTTTACCATGCACAGACGTCAATAAGGAGAGACGTGTATTAATTTAGGATTCTTTTCTAGGCGACAGTCAGTCAGATATAGCTAATGAATAGGGGTACAATAAAATTACTGGATGACAAGGTCAATAGCTTTGTTTTCTATATACATATTTTCATATCCAGCGATATTGACAAGAAAAGCTTAGCCAATACTTTTGCGTCGTATACTGCTCTATTTCCATCAAGGGCAGCTGATCACAACTGAACAAGGCAAAATTGCGGTGTTTTCTTCTTAGAATTCGGCTCCTAACACCTTGCATTTAATTTTTTTATGAAAGCAGGGGCTCCCGTAACTTATCATAACTCTTCATTAATTCATCTACGGTATAACAGTTGCTTAATATAATCTTCTGAGATGTGTATCGCAATTGCCTCAACGCATTTCCTGTGTATGAAACTTGAAACACCAGGAATTGTTACTCATCGGCGAATTGCTCTCAGTTATGCAAATTGAGCGCGAATAAATCGAAATTCAAGTCCAATATTATTTTTTACTTGAAAGGAAAAAAAACTTTTTTGAAGATTAAGTAGCACAATTTGCGAAATTCTAAATAGATACACTGTAGCCATATATATTCTGATTCGTTATTCTCCGTTCTAGCTGTTGTACATTATTTTATACAAGTATTCCTGTCAAGAAAACACTCCCTTGCGGAGAAAACTGTCATTCTATCACATGTCAGCTAAAATACATTGATATAGTAAATGCAGGTTATATGTTGATCGCTTTAAGAAGTCAAATCTTCTTGTAAATTCCCTTAATGATTTCAATTTGCAACATTTACCGTTATTTATTCTGTTTTCCGTCAAGCTGTTTTTCAGTTACGTTTGTTTTAGTCAAAAATTGTCCCATTTATCAAAATAAAAATGTCCTCGTGCGTGTAAATAGTTATTGGCAATAAAACTTGGGAAATTTCTTTTGAGTTTCGAAGTTCTCCTTCGATTCAGGGGTACCCCTTTACCCAGACATCTTTAAACTCCAGGCCTCAGTCATTCGAAGGTCGGATGACACTATGCACTGGATAAATCTCTATCCGGTGGATAACACAGTACGTTTTGCTATCACTTACCCCCTGGATAGTGATTTATCCGTTGGATAGCGTTATCCGCCCTTTATACAAGTGGGCCCAGCTGTACAGTTCGAGAGATAAAACTTGACGTCGCATTGAGGGACGCCGTCAGAGTGAGAGGCGAAAGCCTTTAAAACGTGGAAAGGAAAAAAGCTAAGCGTGAAAGCATTATGTTCTGTGATTTTCATCTCTAAATCCAAACTCGCTAAGGAGCAATTTCTTCCCTGAACCCCCATTAAACGGCTTACGCTCATGGATCCATCTAAAAATATCGAGGAGACATCGTCTGGTGTAACTTCCTTTGCCTCTCAAAGTCGCTCTGGCTCTTACTTAAGCTGGGTGGGAAGGCCTGGCGAGGTGGGAAGGCCTGGCGAGGTGGGAAGGCCTGGCGAGGTGGCTGACTTGGCGTCCTCCAATGTGCAGAATGGCTTTCTCGAGCTGGTTGTCTTGGAACACTCCAATTAAAAGAACCGATTTGTTCGGCTTGAACAGTATTTAGAAGCTTTTTATTTTCCACAAAACCAAACTCTGAAAGGCGTTTCTCTTGGGTAGTCTTAGGAAATCCCTTGAAGATTGTCTCTATTGACTTCCTCAATTGAACAACCTCAGTGTTTGTACTTGTTAATAAAAGTTTTTCAACTTGTCCTAGAGATGATTCCATAAATTTTATATGTTTGGTATTATCAGCAATTTCTTCTTTAAATCTGCTAACTGATTTGCTTGTCTGTTCTTCTGCCTTTTTCAACATTTCTGTCTTTTTTAATTCTATAAGTTTCATCAAATTGTTTGCTAACTCTTCGATTTCCTTAGCAATAGTTGTTCCTTTTTGTGCCAGTTTATCGCAATCTGCCTCAAGTTTCTTCACCGTGTTTCGCTTTGCTTGCAAATCGCTTTTTTGCTGTTCAATCAGGGCTTCAATATCGGCCCTTTGTTTTTCGGCCTCATCATCTATGTGATCAAAAGCGTGGCCATTGTGGTTTAAAGTCACGCAGGTTTGACAAACAGCTGTTTTACAGTTCTTGCAGTAATATTTCAGTTCTTCGTTCTTGTGTCGTGGTTCGGGACAAAATACAGGCCGTTTTAACACGTCCTCGTAGTCCCTGTCTTGAAACTCTTTCAGCGCCATGACACGGTGATCCTTATTACTGCGCATGATGTTGTGTGCATCTTCGCATTTGGCACAGTAAAACAAACAACACTGAAAACAATAAGAACTTTCGGAGCATTTCTGCTCGCAATTTCCACACGTTACACGGCTGTTCTTGCACTCTTTTATGGCTAGTATATCAATCAAGCCGTTTAAATAAAAACTCGTCGGCAGATCTTTCAGATTGCCACTTCTGGGCACTTCATTAACTGCTAGGCACTTCGGACATTTGATCGTGTCTCCGCCATGCCTGCCATGGATTCCATGGCTTCTTCTGTGCCATTGCCGTAAGCAGCTCAGGCAGAAACTGTGCAAACACGAAAGCTGTTTTGGATCGGTGAAGATGTTCGAGCAAACTGAGCAAGACACCTCCTCACGAAGGTTAGAAAGTAGAGTTTTGAATTCCATGTTGTTCTCTAAGGAGAGATATTGGAGGCGATAGCTGTTTCAAAACTGCTCATTGAGATTTGTTCCGTGTTTTCTTAGAAAACCCACTGCGCGAAAACTGGGGCCTAAAATGCCTGACTATTTTTGCCTAGCTTATTCGTCTCTTTAAATGCAGTTTTTATCCACGCATAGTCAATAGAAATGAATGAATTTTTATAAGCTCCTGAATTAAAAAATAAAAATGTTCTGAGAGAAAGTTTGAGTAAACACGGCAATTACATTTTGTTCAACAGTTGGGAACGTCTTCAACAATGCATAATGTTCCTTGGTTTCTAGGAAAATCAACGGCGCGTAAATTGGAACTTTGAAAAATTTTAGCACCGCCTGACTCTTATCACCCATACGATTATACTTTGCAGTGGCAGCTGGCTTATAGAAATGAATTATTTATTGTTAGCGTTTGTTGAAAAAAATAATTGTAAGAGCAAATGGTGATAGAAAAGCGACTTCTCGTTGTATCTAGAGAAAAGCATATTCAAATCGTTTCGCGTCTTATAAAGAGTTAAAGCGAATACCATAAGTACGCTTCCTAGAGAAATATCCGAGGAAGTCATTCAAGATTTTTTTCAAATCTATGTACTCCCAGCATCTTTGTGTACAGAAACCCTCAGTGTATCTTAAAGGAATTTTAAGAATATATTGTTACTGAACCAGTTGTCTTTAAGTTCGAAGAGAAATCTGAGGCCCTAGCTCTCTGCCTCTTTGAGCTCCAGAATTGACTGCTGAGTTTATATGCAGCAAGCGAGGCCATAAATAATCGTATAATAGTTCATACAGACAAGTCACGCACATGATACTGGAATCAGAAATGCTGCAGCTTCATAGATCCCTCATGGAAGATAAATAAGCTACCTCAGGGTCTGGTATGTTTATCTACATGTCAACATGGGTATTTAATCTGTCGTTTAACCTGATCTGACGGATAGGGTTTTTTTTTTCGGTCGTTGGTTAAAAATGATTTTTTTCCTTTGTCACGTAGGAACTTGAGATGTCCTATCTTTCGTTACGTATTTTAAAATATGAAACTTTCGACATTGATGATCTTAGAAGTATACAGGATGATCCTTTATGTATCTACTGTGTGTCATGGCTCATTGATGAGAAGTCTATAGCTATGTGGGTGAACTTCAGATCGTAAAATCGTGTGCATGAGATCAGATCGATATTTCTTTCATTATTTTGTCTCATGTTTCAAATTATTACTATTTGTATCTTTAGTTAATACCCGTTTATCTCATTCACTGCATTAGGTCGCTATTAACATATTCTGTTCTCACCTTAACTCTTATGAAAATGTGATTTTCCCCACAAGTGTGTAACAAAACGGTGCACTTGGTAACACCAGCAGTATTGAAGAAGCTGAATATGAGCTCATCGAACTCGAAACAGAAAATCGTGTATCATTGTTTATTTCGTGATCCATGATTCTATTTTGTAGCTACGCTGTTTCACTATTTATACGCCAAGTTGAGACTGGGTCTCATATGACATCTTTTAGGTTTCATTTTCATTAATCCGGAGTATTGCACAATGACATTGACATCCTACTTTTT